TTTGATGAACAATTTTATTCATTACACAAGGCTATCATCACAAATCACAATATTGTATTGACGTTCTTGTCGCTATCGCCGCCGGCGCTCCTATGAGCCGCCACACACGCCATTCTGTCCAACGGCGTGTCAATTGAGGTAAAATCATTCCCATATTAAATTATCAATTACAATTTTAAAGTTTTCGATTTTGATAGTATTAATTATTTAAAATAACCATTTAAAATTAACATAATATTAAATTGGTACTTATATTTAAACAATATTCGACAAGACTTCATAATCATTATATCGGTATCGTTACCGGTTTATCTTCCCATAATACGTATTTGCTAACAGGTAGATTATGCCTAGTGCGTAAATTATGCGGTCCTCTGATTTAAATTTTCTCGAGAAGAATCGAGCAATCTATATCTCCGTTAATGATTTTTGATAATGTAACAATATCGGAGACAGTACGTCTATTTGTTAAAGGCAGAAAATGATATCTCTTATGTACATCTTGGTACATATCCGTGATCAATACACTTACACTTATACTGCAAATATCTTAAAAATCTTTTTTGGATGAACTCAATACGATCAATATATATATATATATTACAACCTCAGACCTCGGTTATAAACCTCAGACGCATACTCGATAATACTGCGTACCAGTCCACAATTAAGCACTTTAATAGGTTTAATGTTGTTAAAATTTGAGGTTGATCTAATAATAAAACCTGAGGATTTGTTGGCTTTTTTCACGATAAAGTCAATATGTTTATCTATATTAGTTTAGAGTCTTGTATAACACCTAAATCATTTATTGACGCGACATAAGCAAGCGGCTCATAATTAATAGTGTACTTAAATTGAGTGGGGTTGATTTTACGCGTAAAATTAACTGCAAAGCACTTGGATACATTAAGGTCCAATTTGTTATGTTTACAATATTTTGCAAAATTATCCAAATCCATTTGCAGTAACTCACAATCAGAGGGGCTATCAATGGCCATAAATATTTTAGTATCATCTGCATAGGAAAGAAAACTAGCGTGATTAAAGCATGAGCCAATCTCATTAATAAAAATAATAAAGAGCAATGGTCCTAATAAGGAACCCTGAGGAACACCAGAAGGGATCGGCATCCATGCAGACGTGAAGCCGTTAATTGCAACAGCGTGAGATCTATTTGTAATGTATGAGGAAAACCACCTGAAGAGGTTACCGTGTATTCCAGCTTCATTCAAATTCTGCAGGAGTAGCAAATGGTCGATACGATCGAATGCCTTGCTAAAATCGGTAAACACAGCATGCAGTTGACCTCCAGACTCCATATGTGAGGTTGTGAAGTCGCTAAATACTAGCAGATTAGATACAGTCGACCTTCGCTTTAGAAAGCCATGCTGTTCTGGCATAAAGATGGACTGTGAAAAATTAAGTAACGCAGCGTAGACTACGCTGCGTTACTTAATTTTTTGAAAGAATTGTATCGTAGACCTCATCATATACAATTCTTTCAAAAAATTTCGCGAATATACAGAGTTTGGAGATCGGCCTGTAATTTTTTATATTCGACAATTCAGGTCAAATGAGAACTGGCACCTGAGTCAATATACCAATCATTCTTATCAAATGTTCCATTAAAAAACACGGCACTAAACGCGTTACTTGTTTTTGAATGTTTATTTTCTGAACTTTGCGTATTCTTGGAAGATTTATCCATATTTTTTTTTTTTTTTTTTTTTGATAAAAAAGACAACGCCCGCATTAGGAATAAATCCTGTGTCGCGGGGGACTTTACAAACATACATGAAACGGACACAAAGAACACCCAGACTCAGAACAACAATTTGTGGATCACACAAAGTGTCGTCCCATGTGGGGTTTGAACCCACAACACTCGGCGTAGTAGGAAGCGGCGTGGCGACCGCTTAAACCACTACGCCATCCGTGCAGTCATATTAGTGCACTGATTGCGGTAGTGGCCATATTGTTTACAACCATAACATTTGACGTTTGGTTTTCCTTTGACAGATGTCGACACTCGTCCATCGCGGCCATCTTTATCGACCATAGACTGTGGTATAGATTTAACATTTTTTCGAACTCTGATCATTGCGGAAACATGCAAATGCATTATTGACATCTCTATCTTCCGGTTCCATATCCATCAACTTCCCTTTAATGGCGTCGGATGTAATTACCATAATAGAATGTTCGATAGCCATTATCATGGGCATGTATTTTTCAGTTAAGCCAGCCAACATGATAGAACCAATCCACTCATCGTTTATGCAAAACCCCGTTCCTTGTAGTTACTGACCCGCTTCGACAATTTTCTAATCGAATAGATATTAGATTCCTTAGAAGGCTGATTTTTCTACTATATCCTGAGTCATCAAACAGCATCTTCAATTTATCCCACAATTCTTTCGATGTTCTGACGGTTTTGATGTGAACATAAAGAGCCGGGTCAATGGTTAAGATCAGCTTGGCTTTTGTTTTCGCATCATCTGCAGCTGCTGGCGGCTGATTCGGTTCAGGTTTTATACACCCAACCGTTCCTTCTAATACCAGAAAATTCTCTGCTGCGAAACACCACTAGCTAAAGTTTTTACTTTTAGAAAAAAGCCGGTTATAGCTCACTGTTTACTAAACAGACTAATTCTCTTAGTAGATAATACACAGAGATTTTTGTTCATCACGCTGATAATACTAACAATAAACTCAATAATAGCTATTTAAATGGGTCTGGGCCCAAAACCTATAATAAAACACCGTGAGTCTTCAACCATCAAGAACGGAAAACCGAATAAAATACTTTATTGTAAAGACAATGACAGTACCTACACTTAAAATATTTGTCACAAGATGGCGCTAGCAGTATCTATATTTTGATATTTGCAACAACTCTCGATCTGAATTACAAATTTTTAATTCTGAAAATTTTGATGTTGATAATAAAGATGCTAAAAGAAAATTATCTGATACACCAACGCCCTCAGAATACTATTCATTTACTTCAAGTCCACCACGTCCATTATCAGAGTTAAATCAAAATATCTGTTCACTAAACTCAGGCAGGCTATCTAGTTTTTCACTTTCAAACTGCCCATCTCCCATGATAAACACCAGTGATGCTTCTTCAGCAGTAGAGGCTGAATGAATGTTCTATGCCTTCCTCGTTAAATGGTAGAAAAAGAGGTCAGTTTAGTATTGATAGATCAAAGAAAAAACGTTTGATTTTCAGAAAATTTTGTCTGCACTACACGGAGAAACCATTTCATTTTATTTATATACTGTTTTTGATATGGGTCTTAAAAAAGGATTATGTTACATGTAGCCTGAAACTATGGCTAAACGGGGTTCGAATGAAGTGGCTAGTTGCCTTTATAATTTTATACGACAGTCAACCGAAAGAGGCATCAAAGATGTCCGCTTATGGTCCGATAACTGTTCGGGTCAAAACAGGAACCGCATTGTATTTCTGATGTATGTGTACTGCTCTCAAAAGTATAGCATTGACATTCGTCACAGATTTTTGGAGAAAGGCCATACCCAGGAGGAAGGAGACAGTGTTAACGCAACAACAACATTGTGTAAAACATCCGGGAATTCTTATGAGGTAATAGAAATAACACAAGACGACATTTTTGATTTCAAAATTTGCTTAAATCATTTTAAATTGACAAAAAATACCGACAGTAAAAATGTTAGGATGAATCAAATACGAGAAATAGTAGTAAAGGCAGAGAATCCTAACACAATATTTTATAAAGATGATCTATATGAAGTAGAACCCAAGCGAATTGACTTGGTGCAAAAAAGAAATACTCGTTCTCGCTGTGGCTTAACAATTATTGATCCTAAAAATGTTATATCTTTAAAAATGAATGGTGAACGTTGAACACCGTGTCGTGTCGCTGGACAAGGTTTCAAGTGAAATGCGAACTGCCGCATACGTGATATATAGTTTGTCACATCAGGTCGAGGTCTTCTGGACTAAGAAACTCACCAGGGAGACGGAGTGGTTCTCCATAAACTAATTCAGCTGGTGATGTCTTTAAGCCCTTCTTGTATGTGCTACGTATACCTAATAATACGAGTGGAAGAGACTCGATCCAGTTACTATCACTGTGGCAAGTTATTGCCGCCTTTACCTGGCGGTGTACACGTTCCAGAATGTCGTTGCATTTAGGATTATAAGCTGTGGTCCTCTTGTGTTTGAATCCGATGATACGAGATAAATGGCTGAAAAAATTTGATTCGAACTGCCTCCTACGATCTGTGAAGATTGTGGTTGGGCACCCGTAACGAGCAATCCAACCGCTGAGCAATGCCTTAGCAACGGTTTCGGACGTAATATCCGGTAATGGTATTGCTTCAGTCCAACGCGTAAAACGATCGATCGCTGTTAAACAGTACCGGTATCCTTGCGATAATGGCAGTGGACCAATGAGATCGATGTGTATGTCTCTAAATCGTGCTCGGGGTAGTCTGTATGCGCCCAACGGTGAAGATGCATGTCTATTTATCTTTGACCGTTGACATGCTATACAAGTACGCGCCCATTCGTACAGTCTCTTTTAATGCCAGGCCAAATATAGCGATCTGTTATCAAACGAATAGTGGCATTCGCACCAGGATGGCTTAAAGAGTGAAGGCTGTTAAAGACTTGTCTGCGTAAAGCTTTTGTCACGACAGGTCTGGGTGAAGTCTGACTCACGTCACAAATAGCGAGATTTCGAGGCGCAGTGAGGTGAGGTGAGGCGCAGTAAGGCGCCACTTAAGAACTGATTAAACTCTGAATCAGTGGTCTGCGCTGTAGCTAAGGGCTTGTACACATAACTGCGATGCGGCGTCGCATCGCAAAAATCTGCGAGCTTCCTCTACGCATAGCAAGAACTTGCGAATTGATTCGCATCGCGCATTCCTGCGATGTTGCGTCACACTTGTTGACGTCATTTTAGTTCGCTCAGGGACAGCGTGTGGGCAAGACGTGTACTTTAAAAATGACAGAATACGACGTTGATTTTTTAATATCACTGATTGAGGAGCGCCCTGTTCTTTGGGACAATAGTAATGAAGATTATAAAAACAAATTCATCAAACAAGATGCTTGGAAGGACGTGTGTAAAAGTTTATTTCCAAATTTCGAGGAAAAAGAAAACAATGAAAAAACTAAACTTGGTAAGTACACAAATACATTTATTAAGTATAAATTCTTTTTACTTTTTACTAAAACTACCTACAAATCAAACATTCTATTCATATAAGCACAAAAAATATTCTTTAAATTGTTTATTACGATGTGATCCTTTTGTACCTGTTGTATTGACTTATTACCAAGAATGCGAGCAACAATGCAAGTCGCATTGTATATTCTTAAATTTTTTGTAGTTGCCAGCTTAATGCTCCAACTTCACTAGTAAAGTAATCCGAATATTCGTTTCTAATTATATTTGCACTTACCACCTGACTACCTACATTCAACCCTTGTTGAAGTGGTTGTAGTTCGGAATCATCTATGATCATTTCAATAGGGGTGTCTAATTCATCACGGTTAATTACAAAGTTATGTAGTATGCAACAAGCCTTAACAATATCTATTGCAAAATCATATGAAACGTTAATGGGCCGGTGATAGGTAATAGGGCGGGGTTGGGTGTGCTCCAATAGGCCAAGATCGCCTGGAGCAGATCCAATCCTGGTACGCCCTCCTGTCCGGAGGGCGTGCACGGCGAATGGTCATGGGGGAGAGCGCAACAGTCGTGTAGATCCCCATGGCAAGTCTGGGTGTCATCCTTCCCGTGGTTGCCGCCTGTTTTAGGTCTGATTCCCTACGAAACAGATATAACAGAAACACCCAGACGCAATTCCATCCCACAAAACCTATCCTTTCCCATTTCCTATCCCATCCACACCTACTGCGGACACTAAGTGGTTGGTGCCTGCGGCCTCACTATCAACAAAGACTGAGAGTGAGGGGGAGGGGGGGCAACCACCCGCATGTTTGTGCCGTGTGCGGTGACCCGTAAGGGAGGATGAAGGGATCCTGGTAGTTGAGCTGAAAGGCAACACACTGCTTCGGCCTGGATTTCTCTTTACACGGGAGGCTGAAGGCTAGCCACCTTTGGTCAATCGGCTGTAGTATCCCGTCAGAGGGCTGCTGGGCGAGAGCTCTTCCTTGGTGGGGGTGGACGACGGGTGGGACGACCAAGTCTTCCTACCTAGTTCGGCCTGCCTTCTGCCAGGGAGGGAGCTCTATATTTCCTTGTTACTTCTGGCGTCGTGTGCCTTCTGCCGCGGCGTCCCCACTTGAGGGCTCCAAGGAGGGTGGAAGGACAAGGAGATGAATAGTATACCAAACACATCATGGATACTAAAAACACACATACAAAAAAAACCACCAAGCCGGCACCGAGGGTGAACAACCCAAGTGCCAGGCTAAACCACCAACCGGCTGACCCCAGGGTGAACAACCCAAGGGTGAATCCGGCAAACACACCTTCGGCTGCTGCTCAGGCAAACAACCCGACCGCAGCGCCATCCACGACTCTGGCGACACCTCTGGTGTCTAACCAGAATACGGAGCCAGTGTCGACCATCGACCTCTCCTCTTTGAGGGCAGCAATGCCCGTACCTGCGGGACCCGGCCTGGAAGAAACCGGCTGGAGCCTGGTAAGGACAAAGAAGAGAGCGTCGAAAAAACCGAACCCGTCCAAGAAGACCCGTAACGCCAACAGGGCGAAAGCCCGAGTGGAAAGGCAAGCACGGTGTCTGACCTCGGGTGGAAGTAAGCGGCTTGAAGTCGCTGAAGGGCCCGAAGGGGCCCACGTTGCCCCCGCCAGTGATGTGCTGCCCCGAGGCGAAGACGAAAGTCAAGCCACGGGGAAGTGTACTCCTGTGGGGGCGCCACCTGCCAAGACGCCTGTAGCGGCCAAAGTACCCTCTAGGCAGGGTCAACCTGGACAGGGTAAACGGGCAAGACGAGCGACACGTGGAGGGAAACCTTCGAGTGAAACAAAGCCCGTCAAAAGAACTCGCCCGGACGAGTCTCGCACTCCCCAGGGCAGTGGCAAGCGATTCAAACCGCTGCCAAAGACCGGCTCCACGAGTTACTCCGACGCACTAAAGGCGAATGACCTTTGCGTCGCGGTCATGCTGGAGCCTTACCACGACCTCACCAAGGCACAGGCAGAGGACATCGAGGGCCAGCTGCAGGGCGTGCTAGATGAGGAGATCTTCTCGCCCGGCACGTCAAGCGCACCCGTCGCTGCGCCACAGTTTAGGGGCAAGGCCTTCTACAGTGAGGGCGCCCTTAAGATGTGGTGCAATGACGAATATGCCCTACAGTGGCTTCGCCGATCCCTGGTAAGGATCCCATCACCACGTGAAGGCACCAAACTGGTCGTCAGGAGGCAGTCTGAGATCCCGAGAAGGATCAAGGCTGGACTCCTGGTACCACAAATCGGACCAGATGATACACTGGTCCGTATACAAACGAGGCTAAGGTATCAGAATAGCCAGTACAATGTGGCCAACTGGGCCCTCTACCATGCCGAGGCGCAGGAGGAAAAGAAATGTCTCTTCCTAGTGCTCGGCATCCCAGAAGAGGACGTCGTGAAGCTCAAGGCTAGCGAGCGTAGAGTATACTACAAACTGGGTAACCTCTACGTTCGCTTCCTCGATGAACGTCCCGCCCCACCAACTAACCCAGACGAGGAGCCAGAATCGGCCCCACAACACCGTAAGGACGGCAATGGAGGGGATCCTCTGATGCCCGTTGAGGAGACAGCCTGCCGGGGTCCACCTCCTGAGGAGTTGAAGGACCTACCGGTGGGCGAGAGTGACCTCGACGACATAGAGGACATGCTGAACAGCGATGATGGCGCTGTCTGCACCCCCCCATAACACCCTTATAGCCATCCAAACCAACCTCCAGCACAGCCATACAGCAACGGCTAACCTACGCAGAGAGCTGGAGGTAAAAACCAACACCGTAGCCCTAATCCAGGAGCCGTGGATTAGGAAGGGCAGGATCTGCGGTCTAAACAATATTGGAGGTAAGATACTTCTCAACACTACCATTGATAACCCGCGCACTTGTATTTATACACCAAAACATGCGTGTACTACCTTAATGACCGAGTTCTGTTCCAGAGACCTTACCTCTATTAGGTTAAAGGAACCCTCATCAAACCTTCCTGACGTGGTGATAGCATCAGCCTACTTGCCGGGCGATGCTGACATCCCCACTCCGGAGCTGGCTGCGCTGGCACACCACTGCGAGCGTGAGGGTCTGGAGCTGATCATCTCTGCCGACACCAACGCGCACCATGCGCTGTGGGGCAGCAGGAGCAACAACCGGAGAGGTGAGGAATTTGTATCGTTCCTATTATCAACTAACCTTAACATTATCAACGTGGGCTCGGAGCCGACATTTGTCACATCCAGGGCCCAAACTATAATTGATCTTACTTTAGCAAGTGAGCACGCATCGCAACACATATCGAACTGGCATGTTTCGAACGAAGCATCGTGCTCAGACCATCGCTGGATCAAATTTAACTTTGAAATGAAACTTAAACTACCCGATCCCCGACGGAATCCCCGCACGATGGACCGGAAACGGTATGAACATCTTACTGCGGAGAATCTGCGAAGCATCAACCCAACATATGCTACGGGGACTGTTAAGGACATTGACAGTCATGTTGTCAACCTTACACAGACACTGATCGATAGCTTTGAACAAACATGCCCACTTTCCACACCCAGAACTGGACCACAGAACAAACACCAATGGTGGGGTCCGGAACTGGAAAGACTACGTCGTAAAGTGAGAAAGTTGTTCAATAAAGCAAAAAACTCGCGATTAGACCAACATTGGGATGCCTACACGCAGGCCCGACAACAATATAAGAAGAGAATCAGAACCAGGAAAACTGAGTGCTGGAGAAACTTCTGTACTAACATAGAAAACAACAACCAGGCTAATAGAGTCAAAAGCATACTGTGTAGTAGAGGCGATCACAATCTTGGCTCACTGAAGAAGCCTGATGGTGAGTATACCAAAACAGACTCGGAAGCCTCAGAGCTGTTATTAAAAACACACTTCCCTGGATGTCGCATTTCAGATGTGATGGAAAAATGGGAAGACAGATGGGAAAAACCACCAGATGATACAGACTGGGATACGGCCCGCAAAGTTGTCAATCATGACAAACTAAGATGGGCAATTAACAGCTTCCTACCATTCAAGGCGCCAGGACTAGATGGTGTCTTCCCAGGCCTACTGAGATGGTGTGATATGACACTACTGGACCATCTTGTAAAAATTTATAGGGGCTGCCTGGCGCATCAGTACATCCCCTTGAAATGGAGAGAAGTCAAAGTAGTCTTCATCCCCAAACCTGGTAAAGGTGACTACACACAACCCAAATCACACCGACCTATTAGTCTCACATCTTTTCTACTAAAGGTTCTCGAGAGGCTAATAGATAGGGAAATCAGGGAAACTGCGTTAGTCAGTCACCCTCTACACCTCAATCAACACGCATACTCGATGGGTAAATCAACAGAATCTGCCCTACATCGAGTTGTTTCATATATAGAAGACAATCTAAATCACAAAAGGTCAACACTGGCTACCTTTATCGATATCGAGGGAGCCTTTGACAAGACCAACTTCACCAGCATTAGCCAAGCTCTATCTAGGCATGGTGTTGATTCCACAATCTCAGGGTGGATCGATAGCATGCTAAGATATAGAGCTATTCAATTCACTGTGAGCGAAGTGACTAGAGGAGTGGTGGCTAGAGGTTGCCCCCAGGGCGGTGTACTCTCCCCTCTTCTATGGAACATTGTTGTGGATGAGCTCATCGCACAACTTAATGACCAAAGATTCCTCACAATAGGCTATGCAGACGATCTTACTATTCTTATCAGCGGTCCTTTTGAGAGCATTACATGCGATCAAATGAGACTTGCACTGAAGATCGTGGAACAATGGTGCGTAGCACACAACCTGACAGTGAACCCATCCAAAACAGAGATGATCATGTTCACAAACAAACGCAGCCTAGGTAATCTCAGACTTCCTAAGCTATTTGGAACACAACTTACTCTTACCAAAGAGGTCAAATACCTAGGAGTAATACTGGACAGTAAACTCCTGTGGAATATGCACCTCGATGAAAAACTGAATAAAGCCTGCATTATTTTCTGCCAATGCAAGCGGCTACTCGGCAAAAGCTGGGGACTATCACCCAAAATCACTTTATGGCTATACAGGACAGTCATAAGACCAATAATCACTTACGGTGCTGTTGTCTGGTGGCAGAGAACAGAGCTTAGCACCGTCATAAACAAACTGCAGCAATTCCAGCGACTTCCATGTTCCGCGGTCACTGGCTGTATGCGCACAACGCCTACTGCCGCACTGGAGGTGGCTCTTGGTCTGCCACCCCTGGATCTATTCATACAGCAGGAGGCCGCCATGGCGATCATTAGACTCAAACACCTGGGTCTATGGCACAAAAGTGAGGGATCGCACTCCAAATTATGGGATCAATTAGTGGAATACGAACCACTGATAGCAGCTCCATGCGATAGAATCCCAAAACACCATATCTTCACAAGAAGATACTACATCCAGATACATGGAAATGACCGAGATCAATCCGGCATTAACGAAGTCCGAATTTACACGGACGGTTCCAAGACTAGGTCAGGAACTGGAGCCGGAGTTTTCTCGCAAGACCTAAATATAAACAAATCACTAGCGTTAGGCCAACACAGTTCCATATTTCAATGTGAATGTGTGGCAATAACTTACGCTGCCACAACGGCCATGTCAAGGGGTATCAAGGACTACAACATCCGAATAATATCCGACAGCATGGCCGTCTTAAAGGCACTGGAGGGCAACACAATGACCTCTGGTATTGTCTTCGAATGCCACCAAGCACTGGAACAGCTCGCTATATTCAATGGGGTACTCCTCCAATGGATTAAAGGGCACAGTAACTCACACGGGAACGATGCCGCAGATGAGTTGGCAAGGAGGGGCTCGGCAACCCCAACCTCTGGCCCAACGCCACTCCTGCCCATATCGTTTAACCAAATACGATGCTGGGTCAGGCAACGGACCTGTGAAGCACACAACCGGAGGTGGAAAAACTCACCCGGCTGCAGACAGTCCAAACTGGTGCTGAATCAAGTCACACCACGACTCACCTGCAGATTGATCAGTCTTAGCAGACCGGAACTCAGAATGGTTGTCGGAACTATTACAGGACATCTAGCCCTGAACCGACAACTATTCATAATCAATGCGACGGACAGTCCCCTGTGCAGGGGATGTCTGGAAGCTGAAGAAACGGCCGCCCACGTAGTCCTGGAATGCGAGGGAGTGGCCACACAACGGGCAAGTATCATTCCTGATATAAAGTCGCTCCTAGAAGCCTGTGAACGCCCCAGGAGGCTTCTGCGCTTCTGGAAGGAGCTTGGTTGGCTCACCTAGTCAACCAATCCTCGACGCATAAAGGACCACTCTGAGTCTAAATGCGGAAACCGAAGCCCACAACCAATACCAATACCAACCAATACCAATGGGCCGGTGAAATATTCGCCACTTATTGGCCAGTATGCCGAAAGTACACTCGACATATCTTCTTGCCCTACTCAAACGGTAGTTGAATACTCTTTGTTTAACAGACAAATGCTTGCCAGAATAAGGACGCATGACATTATTCGAAATAGAAAAAGCTTCGTCTCCGACAAAAACAAATGGAACCGGTTCTTGAAAGCCCGGTAACGGCCTTGATGTTGGTGTAGGCAAATCATCTCTCATCAGTAAGTCGTACAGTTTCGTGTTGTGGAAAATAGTGGAGTCACTTTCCTTTCCATATGCTCCTATGTCCACATAGATGAATCTGTATTTCGAGTCCACAATAGCCAACAAAACTATTGAATTGTAGCCCTTGTAATTAAAAAAAAGTGATCCACTTTTTCGGGGACTACGAATACGAATATGTTTCCCATCAACGGCTCCAATACAGTTAGGGAAATTGGCTTTCTTGTCAAAGTCCGCAGCTATTTCTTCAAACAGCTGTTGTGTTATTTTTGGTATGTTTGCATTTAAACAAAATTTCCATATTGCATTACAAACTACTCGTATTATCTTAGCAACTGTACTTATTCCTCGATAATAATCTAAATGTATATTTCTGATTTCATTTCCGGTCGCTAGGAATCTGTAACATAAATAGAAAAAAAAAGGATTAATTTATATAACAAACTTGAAAAGTAAAGAACACTAACCTAAAACGACATAAACATACATAAATTATTTTAATTTAATGAATTGGTAGACAACGCTTCTAGCGTTAAGTTCGCCTATTGTTCTGTACAATTGGTATTTGATGAATAATAAAGATTAATAAATAAATGAATATATTAAATATTGTCTATTTTTTTTTTTGCAGGTAATTCAGTATTACAAAGATGGAGGGGGATTAAGGATACCTTTAATAAATTTGAAAAGAAACTCAAAGATGCAAGTAGGTCAGGGTCTGGATCCAAAAATATAAAAGAATACCATCTGTATAAACAATCACAATTTCTTAAGAAAAATTTGCAAAATGAGACCACTACTAGTATAAATGAGTCAGAAAATGAGCAAGATAATCAAGAAGGTACATCTAAAACACGTTACCAAAGGCAGCCACCAAAAAGAAAGATGGTTAATAATAAATTTGAAGATGATATTGTAAAGATTTTAAAGGAACCTGAGAATAGACACATATCTTTCTTTAAAGGTATTCTACCATCACTTGAAAGATTAGATGACAATAAAACACTAATCTTTCAGAGCAGAGTTCTTCAAATTTTAACAGAATTGCATCAACCTCATGGCTACTACCATCCGAATAGCAACTACCAGGGTGGCTATCAAACTCAACATTTTGCGACATCTAAACAAACGCCACTGATACGTCCACAGTCATCTAACATACCAGATCAAATTGATTCACCCAGTAATGATTTTTCTAACTCAAGCATATTAAGCACACTTTCAACTGAAGAAGACTTTGATTTTTCGTAAATTTTATGGATTGTAATTTTAAAAACTCTTTATTAATAAAAACTAATGTAAACAATTATTGTTTTACTTTACTTACCGGATAGTGAGGCCAATCATTTCCAGAGGCATAACAGGAATTCTCCCCTTGTACGATTGTTTCTGAAGATAGGGTGATAATAATCTTAAAAGCTCTTCGAATGAAGATATGCTCATTCTAAAATACTCCAAAAAATTTTTTTCGTCGGTTTTCAAAGCTTTATATTTTAGAAGAAAATAGTTTCCATCGGGATTCATAATAGTAATAAATGGATGAACCCAAAATCTTCTTTGTTTCTTTTTCCTGTATCTCCTAAGCAATAAAAGTGCACATTTCTTTTTACGATCCATGTCACGACCTACTTTTCAATTCAAAATACGTTTAGTACGGTTAACGGTCGTCGAAGGAATGGTCACCCTGGGAGACGCCTTGCCGCACGAAATCGCATCGCAGAATTTCGTGTCGTAATTTTCTGCGTTGCGAATTCGCATCGTGTCGCATCGCAGTTTTGTGTACAAGCCCTAACTCCTGAAAGTCTTTTTTTTTTTTTTTTTGATCGGTATATATCACAAAGTCTCGAGCCTCGATCATGTGACGGAAATGTTTAACCGCCTCATATATGGCTAAGAGTTCTCGGTCTTATGACCGAGAACTCTTAGCCATATATGAGGCGGGGAGTACTTGACGTGTGATGTAGATAATTTGCCAGAAAAAAAAGCTAATGGCTGCCAAGTGGCCTCCTTAAGTTGCTGCAGCACTGCTCCAATGGCAGTATCTGACGTATCAGTTACTAGAGCAAGCTTCGTGTTGCAATCTGGGTGGCAAAGCATGGTAGCCTTGCACAGACTCAGTTTGCAAGATTCGAAGGCGTCAAGTTCTGTGGGTGAAAAGGTTACAGGGTGTGAACCCTTCACAGAACCGGTCAGGATCAACGGTGCTTGGAGACTCGCTGCGTCGGGAATAAACCTCCTGTAAAAATTTATCACACCTAAAAATCTGCGTAATTCTTTAACTGTTTTAGGTACTGGGAATTTGCTAATGGCATCCACCCTTTCAGGTAAAGGATTGGTGCCACTTGCGGAAATACGGTATCCCAGGAAAGTTATCTCAGATGCACCGAATACGCACTTTGCTGAGTTTATCACCAGGCCGTACTCTTGAAGTCTGGTGAGAACCTGGTTCTAGTGCTGTTCATGAGATTTCTGGTCTACTGAATGGACCAGTATGTCATCCAAATAGGGATACGTGAAATCGAGCCCTTGGAACATTTCATCCACGAACCGATGAAACGTTTGCCCAGCGTTATGAAGTCCAAATGTCATGCAAGGGAATTCAAATAGGCCAAACGGGGTCGTGATTGCGATTTTCTCAATATCGTCTGGATGGACACAAATCTGATTATATGCCTTGACGGGGTCGAGCTTGGAGAATACAGTGCATCCTGTAAGGTTGTGTGCGAAATCCTGTATATGGCGAATGGGGTACCTGTCAGGGATTGTCCGGGCGTTCAGCATTCGGTAGTCACCGCAGGGCCGCCAACTGTTGTCCTTCGTCGGTGCAAGGTGGAGGGGAGAGGCTGTCTGTAAATATTATATCTACTTAGGTTTATTTAGGTAACTACTTACAAATAAAAGTTTCTAATTTAAATAATTAGAAACTTTTATTTGTAAGTATTAGTACACTACATACATTAAATATAAATATAGCTATGCTACAGTTCCCATACTGACGGTAATGAGACTGAATAATTTCTTAATTAGTTTTAAATAATAAAAATAACTCTATTTTCTTTCGTAAATTTAAAACGTGTTTTTGAAAATTGTAATATTGAGTTGAATTTAGTTTTCTACTTACTTTTATTATAACATACAGCCAAACAAATATACAGCCTTGGCCAAAAGTACTAGGCACCCTACATTTTACTTAAAATAAAGGAAAAAAACAACTTATGCTTTTTGAATTTATTTATTACCATTAAAATTCACAAAAAGGAATGAAAAAAAATCAAAATCTAGTCGGTCCGCCTTTGGATTTAATTACTGCACTAATTCTAGCTGGCATGCTGCGTACAAGCTTAGTACAATCCTCCCCTGTAATGGCATGCCATTCTTGTACTCACGCATTTTTTAATGCCGTTTTTGATGTATACTATGCTCTTTAATCTTGCGCTTCAAAATGCTCCAAAGATGTTCAATTGGGTTCAAATCTGGTGACTGCGCTGGCCAATCAAACAAGTCAATGTTGTTTTCAGTAAACCAACGCATCGTAGTCGCTGACTTATGACAAGGTACATTGTCTTGCTGGAATATAACTCCCTCTAAGTTGGTATCGGCGAAAATACTCGTTAGCGAAGGCATAAGCGCAGTTTCAGGCACTTTTATGTACTTTTCGCTGTTCATACGACCTTCGCAAACAAACATTTCGCCAACCCCATCAGTAGCCATGCAGCCCCAGATCATTATGCTGCCTCCTCCATGCTTTACTGTCGGTACGACGCAATCTGGATGGTATTCTTGCCCACACGTCACCTCACGAAGGTCACACCTGGCGTTCCAAATATCTGTTGAAAAAAGAAAAAAAAAAACACTTTTTTTAAACTGCCTTAACTTTTATTATTTTAGTTAAATAAATAACTGTCCATGATTATTAATGACAAAATCAGTAAAATTTACTTACCTCAAAGTGAGATTCGACAGACCATACCACATTGGCCCAATCTTCCTCAGTAAAATGTTGATGCCGTAGAGCCCATTCAAGTCGTTTTCTTTTGTTAGCTTCTGAAAGCCAGGGCTTCTTCCTGGCTTTGCATCCCTTTTAAGCCTGCTTCTCCAAGTCTTCTTCTGGTGGTCCGAGCACTTATTGGCTTTCCAGCCTCTTCGGACAAACTAGCAGCAAGCTCTGATGATGTTTTCTTCCGATCTTTCATAGATTCGCGTATTAATTTTCTATCCTCGCGCTTCGAAGTCACACGTTTTCTGCCTGTTCTTGGTTTATTAGCGTGACTGCCAGTCTCAGCAAACCGTTTAATAGCAGATTGCACAGCGCAACGTGAACATTTCACTAACTTAGCAATTTCTTTTTGTGACTTCCCTTGTTCATGGAAATGTTGTATTTTTATTCGGTTTTCCAAACTAATTTCATTTCTTTTCGGCATTTTTAAATAAATTACGTGTCAATTTAATCACTATGTTAGAAATAAAAGCTTGTTTACTCTTTAGAGTCCTGAACACAAGTGACCAAACATTGACTGATAAGAACGCATAAAAACAAATCCTTTGTTTTCAGTCCCCCAGGTGTTTTATGACCATAACAGATAGCTGCTTGCTTTTCTAGGAAGTTATTTGTGACCCCGGCATGCCATCTAAGATAAGCATTTATTCATTGCTCAATCAGTAAACATGAATTGTGCATTTTTCTGGGGTGCCTAATACTTTTGGCCAAGGCTGTACGTATTTTTATCAAAAATGTACGAGTAGAACATACTTTAGGGGATTTATGTTAAACTACAGAAATTATGATTATAACTATAGGTCTACTGGGATCTCATGGCGTAAAAAAAAAAAAATGATTTTCATATGGCAATGTCAACTGTCACCAGTCAAATCAAATTATGAGATCTCTCAACCACTGCTGAGATTATGAGATTTCTTCTTGTTATTTTGTTGTTTTTGTGAAAATGTCGAAAAAGCCACTTCGATCTCAAGCGTGAAATATTCTTGTCCATGTGTATCGCAAAATAAGCGAAGGAGAAGGCGTAAATCTAACTCAATCTTTGATTTTAAAGCGCGTCGTAGAGTTGACTGGTAAGTTAGACTGAGTTGTTTTGATACTTTTAGTTTATTTCATATATTTCTTACTTAATTTTAGCTTCTTTATAGGGGTTTCCAGTACTACTATACGATGAATCGTAGGTTTTCTACGGTACGGTAATCGTAGGTATTTTCCACGCCTGGTAAAAAGCGGAGAGGGGGGAAGAAGAAAATCAACTTGGACAGCTTCGATTTAGAGTTGATTAGGAATAAAGTAAAATAATTCTATACAGTTCGGAAGGAAATTCCAACAGTAATGAGACTGTTACAAATTCTTCGACAAGATATTGATTTCAACGGAGAGAGAGAATCTTGTAGGTAAGAAAAATATAAAGTAATAATAACTCTCACTCTCACTCGTAAGAGTAGGCCTGTGCCCTGCAGTGGGGCGTATATAGACTGATGATGATAGTGATGAATGACTAAGCTATCGTTTGAGTAACATGATATATTTTCTTATTTTTTACAGACATACTTAAGGAGATTGGTTTTGAATATGTTAAATGCCAATCAAAAGGGACCATTCTGATGGAGAGAGATGACATAAAACTACAAAGATACAAGTTTTTGAAGCGTATGAAGGAAAACCGCGAAGCTGAAGAGCATAATAAATTGGATGTGATTTATTTAGATGAGACTTACATTCACGGTTCATGTACTGTAAACAAGTGCTGGCAAAGCAAATATATTGCCGGTCTATCTAAAAGTATTTCACTTAGAGCGAGGTGGATCATTGTAAACGCTGGTGGAGAAAATGGCTTTGTACCAAATTGTTGTCTGGTGTACAGGTCAACAAGTATATCTGCTGACTACCACCACGACATGAATAAAAACAATTTTACAAAATGGGTGACAGAGAAGCTAATTCCAAATCTGACAAGACCTTCACTAATTGTTATGGATAATGCTAGTTATCATTCCGTACGGATGAACAAACCGCCCACACAAGCAAATCGTATCGCTGATATAAAAGAATGGCTTCGTGCAAATGATTTACATTATGATGATCTTTGGCGTAAATGCCAATAACTTGAAGTAGTGAAACAAAGCATGTCTGCGCCCTTATATGAGATAGATGAAGTATTAAAATCGCACGGTCACAAAGTTGTAAGGCTCCCACCTTATCATTGCACCTTTTCTATAGGATTCACCTATAGAAATATTTGGGGTATAATGAAGCAAAAAGTTGCTGATAAAAATGTAAATAGGCATGCAAGTGACATTAAATTATTAACAAAAGAAGCATTCTCACAAATTGGTGCAGAGGAATGGCGAAAATGTTGTGAACATGTAAAGAAAATTGAAAACGATTTCATCAAGCAAAATAGAAAAATTGAAAGGCTGAAAGAGCGATTTATAATAAATACCTCTTTATATTCATCATCTGATGATGGACAAGAAATGCAAGTGCAGTTCTTGGAATCGTTTTCTAGTTCTGAATGAGGTGTTAAGTTTTATTATGATTTAAATGATACATAATAAACTAGTACATAAAGTAATGTATTTGTTTTTCATGAAATATTTCGTATGAAGAACCCGAT